AAAAAAAAAAAAAAAAAAAGTGTAAAAAATAAAAATTAGTCATTTTAGGTTTGCTATTGGCTATCTTAGTTTGTTCTCCCACTATGCAAGAGCTCTCTGCTGTTGAGGAAAGCTTTGCATGCCCTTGAAAAATAAACGACACAGATATTCCATGAGATTGAAGGTGGTGTGTATTCCTAGTGATAGGCATGCCCTGAAATGATGGAGCTGGCAGTTCAAAGGGTTGACTCTTAGGACGCATCACATGATTTAAGTTTGTACAAAACTTAGATTTGCTTCATGAAGCCTGGCAAGTCATAATTGCAGGCTTTTTAAATTTGATTTGGTTTTGTTTTTGTTTTTTGAAGAGGTGGTTTTGGGGTTGTTTTTTGTCTTTTGTGTTTTTTTTAAGATAGGATCCTACTCTGTCGCCCAGGCTGAAATGCAGTGGCACAGTCACGTCTCACTGCAGCCTAATAGTTCTTAGGGGGCCACAGGCAATTAAATAGTAGAACGTGATGTGGAGGTGAACAGAGCCAGGCCTGAACTTGGAGCTCACCTAAAGCTGCCCTGTGTGTCCACATTGTTTTTGAAATAAATGGCTTCAGTGATTGCTAGGCCCACCTCCCACCCCACCCTAGTCACTTAGCCCAGTCACCTCTCTTGTCTCTGCAACTTCCAATTTCTCACCCATCCCATCACATTGTCACCTGCTCATTGCTGATAGGATATGCCCAACATTTACCCAAACACTGTCTTTGACAGGCCCAGACTGCTAACTAATGTAGAACTGGGAGTTCCTGTTTTTGGTTAAAAAAAATAAATAAAACAAACAAAAAATTGCATTTGACTGTATCCGAGAGATTTTGTAAGTAGGTTTTTTTTAACTCATCTCACTCCTGGTTCCTGAATGCAAGTAACACCCTCAAGCCAATTTCCCATGCCACAACCATGCTCACTTGTTATTTACATGCCATGTAATTGATGCAGTAGCCACACATGTAAGCACAGATGTGCCAATTAGGATGGGGACCAGTAGTCGTTTCCATTCTGTGTGCACAGCAAATAGATGCCCCATCAATAATACATCAGTAAGAATGACATCAATTATACATCAAAGCCTGACAATTAAGCTAGCACATGTGCAACACCCTTTCTTTGCTGTTAGTAATAAAGTGCTTTTTAGCAGCTTGGAGTGATGGAAAGAAGTCAACTCAATTCTTTTAGTTTGGTATCTGACTTTTCTCCTTACTATCTGAGTGACCTTAGGCACATCACTCTATTGTCTGAGCCAGTTTCCACTTTTGCAAAATGAAATGGAAACCAGTATGAAACGAAATGGAAACCAAAATGAAGTGAAAGGCCAAGTAATCTCTAAAGTTATATGTCTCCAAGTTTGAGAATTTATGCTTCAACAAGCTATCTAAAAATAAGCAAGATGGAAGCAAGGAATGATAACTTTTTTTTTTTTTTTGAGACGGAGTTTCGCTCTTGTTACCCAGGCTGGAGTGCAATGGCACGATCTCGGCTCACCGCAACCTCCGCCTCCTGGGTTCAGGCAATTCTCCTGCCTCAGCCTCCTGAGTAGCTGGGATTACAGGCACACACCACCATGCCCAGCTAATTTTTTGTATTTTTAGTAGAGACGGGGTTTCACCATGTTGACCAGGATGGTCTCGATCTCTTGCCCTCGTGATCCACCCGCCTCGGCCTCCCAAAGTGCTGGGATTACAGGCTTGAGCCACCGCGCCCGGCCTGGAATGATAACGTTTTATGAATTTTTGTTTTATTTGGTCAAGTGAGGATATCACTCTGCCACCATCTACTGACAACATAATTTGTAAGAGAAAGAACATTTATCACCACAAAAGTGAGATAAAGAGCAGCCTCGCCCTTCGCCCCCCCCAAAAAAAAGGCTAGTTGGCAGCATGGCACTGACATACCAAAAAAGTAAGAACAGGGTAAAATAAAATTCAAAAGCAGAAAAATTATAACATAAAAATATATTTTATAATATTCATTGTATGTAGTTGTTCCCTCAATACACCTTGGAAATTTGGATGGAGATGTATATTCAATAACGTAACTTTGGATGAAATGCAAATATCCAACTTGTTCTGCTATTTTATTTTATTTTTTGAGACAGGGTCTCACTTTGTCACCCATGCTGGAGTGCAGTGTCCCAATCTCCACTCACTGCTACCCCCACCTTGGGGGCTCAAGCAGTCCTCCCACCTTGGCCTCCAAAGTAGGTGAGACTACAGGAGCATGCCACCATGCCTGGCTAATCTTTTGTATTTTTGGTAGAGACAGGATTTTGCCATGTTGCCCAGGCTGATCTCAAACTCCTGAGCTCAAGCAATTCGCCTGTCTTGGGCTCCCAAAGTGCTGGGATTATAAGCATGAGCCACCGTGCCCAGCTGCTATTTTATCACAGTCATTATTGAATTCTTGTCTCACATAGACTTGTTAATAGAAGTAGACCCCAGTCTTAAGCAATTGTACTCAATGTGGAATATGGTGGATAAGCGAAGAAGTCAGGCAACAATAGCCCTCTCCCACTATGCTTTTTTCTCCATAACTCCAGGGAGAGTGTGAACACAGATCATAGGAACTGGAGCATTGCTGGGAGCCTCCAGCTTGGCAGCCACTTGCCCCCAGCTACACAGCCTAGGTCCCTGACCAACCAACCCCCTGAGCAGACAAGAATGAAAAACAGTGGCCATGAGGGATGACCTTCAAGAGCCACTATTCTAAGGTTGCCTCCAGCTGTGCTTCACATTTTCACTTAGTAATGAAAAATGGTCCATTGTAATAACCAAGGACTGCTTTAGTGAACCTTAGGGAAGCATGTATGAAACTGTCCTCTGTCCCCTAGACCAAAGGTCCACAAAACAGCAGCCTGTAGCTTAACCTGGCCCTCTGCCTGAACACTTGCAGTTTCATGTGGAAAGCACTACAGAAATCCAGTTAAGGGAAATGATAGCCCAATAAAAGGGACTT